ATTTGAGAGAGAGGGGGAGAGAGAGAGAGCACGAGCAGGGGAAAGTGGCAGAGGGAGAGGGAGACGCAGACCCCCTGCTGAGCAGAGAGCCCGATGTGGGCCCCAGGATCCCAGGGCCCCAGGATCATGACCTGAGCCAAAAGCAGATGCTTAACTGACTGAGCCACCCAGGAGCCCCTTCTTTGCTTTTTAAACAACACTTAGAAAATAATGCAAAACTCAGTTGGAGGGCTGCACAAAAAAAACAATATAAAAGATTTTACAAGTTCACTTAAAAAACTGTACTCTTCAGTTATTAGGTATTCTATAAATGGCAATTAAGTTGATTAATAATGTTTATATCTTCAAACTCCTGTTTTGTTTTGTTTTGTCTCCTTACTCTACCAATTACTGACAGAGGGTGTAGAAATCTGACTGTAATTGTGGATTTGTCTATTTTTCCTTTCAGTTCTGTCAAGTTTGCTTTATATATTTTGAGGTTGTTTTCAGTTGCATACAGTTAGAAGTAATACGTCTTCTTGATGAACTGATCCCTTTAACATTATGAAATGTAACTCTGTCTCTGGCAATTTCCTGTGTTCTGAAGTTGACTTTATCTGATATTAATACAGCCACCCCTAACTTAATGATTAATATTTGTATGGGAAATATTTTTTGATTCTGTTTAAGCCTATTTGTGTATTACAATTACATCAGGTTTCCTGTAAACAGCATTTAATTGGGTCTTGATTTAACTAGTCTGACAATCGATGGCTATTAATTCAAGTGTTTAATTACATTTAATATAATTATTGATACTGCTGAGTTTAAATCTAACACTTCAAGAGTTACTTTCTATTTGTCTCTTCTTTGTTCATTTTTCCCCTTCTCCTGCTTTCTTCTGGAGTATTTTTTATTATTCTATTTTATCTCCCTTACTGGTTTATTATTTAGTTTTTGTGTGTTTTTTCCAGGTAATTGCTCTAGAGTTAACTATATGTACTTTTTCAAACTTACCAGAGTCTACCCTCAAAGAGTATTACGCCATTTCACATGTAATGTGTGCACCTTACAACAGTATATTCCCAGTTCTTTGCTCTCATCCTTTGAGCTGTAGATGGCATACATTTTACTTCTGTTATAAATTTCACAATATATTGTTACTGTTTTTGCTTTATTTTTTTAAGATGTTATTAATTTGAGAGAGAGAGAAGCACAAGCGGGGGAAGGGACAGAAGGAGAGGGAGAAGCAGACTCCCCACTGAGCAGGGAGCCCAACTCAGGGCTCGATCCCAGGACCCTGGAATCATGACCTGAGCGAAGGCAGATGCTTAACTGACTGAGCCACCCAGGTGCCCCTGTCTTTGCTCCTTTTAACATAATGAGTCTTTGTTCCCCTGGCTACTTTAGAGACTTTTCTCTTCATTATTGGTTTTCAGCAATTTGATTCTAATGTACCTTCATGTGGTTTTTGTATTTTTTCTGCTTGAGGTTGAATTTCTTGAATCTGGGTTTACAGTTTGCATCAAACTTGGAAAATTTTGACCTATCCTATGTATCTTCAGATTATTTTCTCTGTACACCCTCTCTGTGACTCCTGATTACACATGTTAGATTGCCTCATATTGATCCAAAGGACATTTTTCCCCCAGTCTTTTTTTTTTCTATGCTTCCCTTTGGAGAGTTTCTATTGCTATGTCTTTAAATTCAATGATCTTCCTTTTGCAATGTTTAATCTACTGTTAATCCCAGTTGGTGAATTCTCATTTGCAATACTTCCTCTAGATGTCTGCTGGTTCTTTTTTTGATATATATTTCCATTTCTCACCTCATATGTTCATGTTTTCCCTTATATCCTTGACCATATGAAGTATATTTATTACTGTTTTAACATCCTTATGTGTTTATTCCATCATGTTTGTCACTTCTAGGTGTTTCTTTTGACTGACCTCCTCAATATGGGTCACGTTTTCGTGCTTCTTTATATGTTTAGAACTTTTTTTTTAAGTAGACTCCATGCCCAGCGTGGAATCCAATGCGGGGCTTGAACTCACAACTCTTGAGATCATGACCTGTGCTGAGATCAAGAGTCAGACACTTAACTGAGTGAGCCACCCAGGCACCCCTATTTATAAGTTTTTTATTATTTGTCGGACACAGTAAATTTTGCATTGTTTAGTACTGGATTTTGTCATATTTCTTTATAGATGTCTCTATATCTTTATATTTATGCTTAAAACAATTACAGAGACCACTCCAAAGCTCAAAAGAAAAAAAAAGAAATGAATGAGAGAATGTCATTTCTAATTATTCCTCAGTCACTTCCTTAGACAAAACTCCTCCTCTAAGAAAGTTACTGGGGAAAAAAAAAAGATCATTTCAAATCTATTTCCAGGCTATAATGCCAGAATCTCAGTAAACACAGTTCTTTAAATATAGAGATAATACTTACCTGCAAAAAATGTCTAAAGAAACTGATCTTACCCTTTCAGAATCTGCAGAGAGGACATATCTAAGTGGAGCCCATATAAAAGTACACATCTTAAATCTTACCCTTTTTCATTCAGTAGTTTCTCCATTTCTGTAATGTAACACTCATCACAAACAGGCAGGTACTCCAGCACCAGCTTTGCATCCTTCTTATATGCCTTACCAATTGCTCCCTTATTGGGTTCAAACTGAACAACATTGACTGTTTTGTATGAAGTAGTCAAGGAACCAAAAAACACAGAGAACTGCCATAGTATTTCAGAAAACGATCTTGAGGACAATCCATCATCAAATTAAAACAATGACTAGTTCTCTACTGGCATCCTAGATCCCGTTTATACTGACTTCAAGTGTAAGATGAAATAACTACCCACAAAATCATTAGACAAACCTCACTGAAAATAAGTAAACACCGTCAATAGAGACTTCTACAAAGTTACAGTGAGATAAAAGGGATATTATTCTAATCAGCAACATAACCTGATACACAGCATAATTACCTCTACTTACCATTTACTGATTTCTGAAATGTCCCAAACACAACAGGATCTACCTTCTGTCACTGGCCTAGCCCTAAGATGAGTTCACGACCTCACTGCCTACTAAAGAATGGAAATTTCTTTACTGATTTACAGACTAAGTGAGCTAAATTATTATTTCATCTACCATAAAATGGCACTCATCTTTTCATAGAGAAAGTATTCACCAGGTGCCCTTTATTTAAAGAGCACGTAGGTAGGTGCAGGTGTGGAGAAATGTATTGTGGAAACAGCTGAGAATATCTGGCCAACACTCGGAAAGACATTCAGAGCACTTTTCTGAATATGCTTCTTTTAAAGACCAAACAATGGGTGGGTATATCAGATTACAAAAAAGAGACTAGGCAAGGAGCAATGAGATGGGTAGAACAATAGGTTTAAATAAGTGTTACCACAATATCCAAAACATCTGTTTATCCATAGAATGTGTAGACTTGGATTTATCCATTTTCAAGATGTTTACACTTTAGACCTGAGTTGCTGAAGTGACCAGAAAGGATATGGGCTCTTTCAGAGGTTTCTCAGCTACAAGTGGGACTTTGGTGGCTCGAGCATGACAAGAAAGGTCATAACAGGAACGATCAGCACATCCGACGATCTCAATCCAGCCCTAAGAAGACATAATAGATAAAAACACTTATTGCACTGGGTTCATTCACAGATGCATGCAGATTGTAAGTAATTTTCACATACCCAAAGATAAATTATAGCATCTCCACTCAACTTTTATAAATGTTTGAAATGGGAATAGTTCTATACATCAGGCAGCTAACAAACGTATAAAATATAATTCACACATGTACACAAAGTTGTCTTCTTATTTTCTGGGCAGATTTCTTTTGCCATATTGTGAATGTGGGGTAAACTAATAGAGTCTAGGATTTAACTATGGAAATAAAATCTGAACCTAGACAAAACCAGTAGATGTGTTTCAAATTTGAGGCCAGGATTCAAAATCAGTCTGGCAGAAACCACTACTCTCTTTGGATGAAGTGTCTATTGATCTCACAACCTGGCATCAAATGGCTGTGCTAAACACACACCTCAGCTGACCATGAACGTGGGCATTTGTGTTCAATTCAGTTTCTTACACAACAAAAGAGATCTCAATAAAGAGCAGGTAACATTTAAGTCACAGAATAAAACTTAACAGCAACACCACCACATAGATGTTAAAGACTTCTTTTAGGAGATATCTAGTTAGTCCTCATGAATATTTATATTTTGCCTTTGATCCAAAGAGTATGAAAAATTGCAACTGTCACAACTACTAAGCTTTCCTTTTCCCCTTTACCACATGGGGTGCATGAACTAAAGAGGGCACAAGCTCAGAAACCCCAACACATAACAACAAAACAGAAATTAAAAGAATGAAACCGAAAATCATGTCACTTGATCATCTGACATGCACTGAAGATGTCAACATATTTATGTACTAAAAGATAAAATTACAAAAACACGTCCGAGAACGGCAAGTAACAACTCTGGGATAGTGGTTAACTCTGAGGAAGAAGAGAAGGGTGGAGCATTAGCTGCCTCAGTGACTTTTTTTTCATTAAAAAAATAAAATATGAAGCACACAAAAAGGAAGTGTTCGTCTCTTCTTGAATGCATGGACTGTCTAATTTCTATTTATCAGACCGTTCTACTGATGGAGTGCTTCAGATAGGGGAGGGAAGCTCTTTGCCTGTTTTATTTCCCTGATTTAAGTGAGTGAGAAACAAGTGTCCTTTGTTCTCTTAGGCTGCAACGGAAGAACTTTGATAAGGTTTTGGCATTTCCTTTGCTTTATAAAACATGCTCAGCAAACGGCACCAGTTGTCTACAGTCTGGTAAACTGTTAACAATTACGACATTTTATAAAGCAACTAGTTTAACAAAATCACTACTGTGAGGACTTAAAACAATAAAAAGTCTTTAAAGGAGTTCTTCCCTCTCCTTGAAAGTTCCTGTTACTTTCGAGCTTCTGGTTTTGTTTAGTTTCCCAATGACCTTATGTATAACGTTGTAGCCTAATCTCAATGCTGGGCCCACATTTTCCTTTTTTCAATTTTATTCTTTAATTAAAAAAAAAAAATGTAGGTACAATTGACATGAAACATTATGTTCGTTTCAGGTATGCAATATAATGATTCAGTATTTGTAGATAATGCAAAATGAGCACCATAATAAGTCCAGTTAACATCCAGCACCACACCTGGTTCCAGAACTTATAGGACCTACTCTCCTAGCAGCTTTCAAATACACAATACAGCATTATTAACTATCGTCACCATGATGTTCATTACATCTGCAAGACTGAGGCCCACATTTTCTGATTCTCAGTACTTGATGATTTAGCCACAGCTCACAGTGGCACTCAGAAAAGCATGAGCAGGAATGCCGCAGGGTCTATTAAAGCAATGTAGCACAATGGTTAAGCGCACGGGCCTGGAGTGAGACAGCCCTGGTTCATTCCCCAGTTCTACCACTCACTGTGAGACTCAAGCAAATTGCTTAACTTCTCAGCACTTCGGTCTCCTCAGAAATAGGACCTATGATGAGGATTACACAAGATACTACATATGAAGCATTTAGAATGGAAAAGCACAGTCCTTACCAAATATACATGTTGAATGCACAAACAAATGAAAGAAATAAAATGTAATCCAGGCCCCACTCAGAATCTCAAGTGAGACAGCAAGAATCTGTGTCTGCTTTAACAAAATTAGTCAGAGCAAACTAAGAAAGGGAACTGGTATAGAACAAAGAGAAAAGAAATAATCTTTTCTCACACAACATAGAAAATATTTTATTGGCTTGATGTGCAAATACGAAGAAATTCCAGAAAATTTAAAACATGTAAAGAAATTACATAATTTCTATAATCTATAGAATCTATAATCTATATAATCCAAAACAACTACTGCTATCATTTTGGCGTACATGTCAAGCAAGTCTGTGAGGAAAATAAAGTAACAAGAAAAACTTAACAGATTATAGAAATTCTTTCCTAAATCCACAAAAGAAAAAGAATATATTTAAAACAACATCAATAACACCCACTACAGATATCTGCGTACCATTATGCATGTATACATGCATATATATTTGTCATGCATGTAAAGCCATCTAGAACAGTGGCTAAAAAAACCCATGGGGCTAAGAATGGTTTTTATATTTTTAAAGGGTTGTGAAAGAAAAGAAAGAAAGAAAGAGAGAGAGAGAAAGAAAGAAAGAAAAGAAAGAAAGAAAGAAAGAAACAACAACAAAGAAGCAACAAAAATCTGCAAAGCCCAAAGTATTTTTACTACATTTACTATAGAAAACATGTGCTGATCCCTGATGTAGAAGAGACATGAACAACTTTGGGGGAGATGTATACAAATGGAAGTTTCACTTTCTACATAATATTCTTCAGAATTACTTTTTGCTTTTCATTTTACAAAAATGAGTCATTTTTATTTCTAATTTTTAAAAATGAATCTATTAAAAGAAAGTCATTTTGCAAAGTAAAGAGTGAAACCAAGGGTACGTGGGAACGAATGACTGTCAAAAGTCACCGAAGAGCCTCTCTAGCACCAAATAAGGGAAATGCCAGGAGGCTCTCAGGCCCCTTGTTCTGGATACCACCTTGTTCCCACTGTTACCAGGGCAGAAAGCAACTTCTATATCCAAATGTCTTTTTTTAACTTATTTTTTAAATGTTTATTTTTAGTAATCTCTACACCCACTATGGGTGACCCTGAGATCAAGAGTCGCATGCTCTTCTGACTGAGCCAACCAGCCAGCCCTCCTATACCCAAATGTCTGTCAATTCTAAGCTCCAGTATGAATGTTCATGTTTGGGAGGTGGGGGTGGTAAAGTACAGAGAATCGGTAGCTGGGTGGTCTTCCCTGAATTATTATTAATACACAGAATTTGAGAAAAGGTAGTTCCTAAACAAGAGATCATAACTACTAGTCTACCACCAAAACCTAACAAATAGATCTCTAAACAAAGAGCACCATGTCTTTCTTTACTCAGCCCTACCACATTTCCAACATTTGCTAGGGTCCTTGTCAGGAAGGAGGCCACTCCAACTTAGCTGCACCCAGGGATATTACTCATAACACTGCCCACCCCAAGAATGTACACACCAGCACTGCCCCATCATTGACTTTCCCTCTCTGTCTCTCTTACTCTCAGTCTCTGTAAAAGCCATCTAAGTCTACAAAGGGCTATTGAGACACAAGAGTAACCCATAACCCCTTCCTTGTAAGAGGGCAGGGGGCAACTGCTTTTTCCATTTTGCTTTGGAAAAGACCTCTTTTCTCTTTGTTGCTCTCTGACATACAGCACACAAAAAGCAATTTTGATGTCCATGCTCCTAAGTGAAGATCACATGCTAACAAGCCTTCCATTCTCCTTACATAGGATGTTTTAGATTCGGCATCCCAACAGTCACAGGCGTAGTGGGCCATCTCGTTCTCCATATGCTGGCGGAAGCGGAGTTTATCTGGAGATACTCCAACCTTCGTGAGATAGAGGTAGATGCGGCCAATGAAGTAGCCTAATACTGAGTTGTTAATCACACCCTAAAAATCAATGAGTAAACAAGTTAGTAAATAAATAAGCAAGCAAATATGCAAACAAGCACAGAAGAAGGAAAAAATACATATTCTTTCTAAGGCCAATGTACCATTTTTGATTTATTCACATTCTACTGAAAAATATTTGAAACACAAGGTAAGCTAATTTATCCAGCTTTCAGAACAATCTCAACTACCCAGAATGTGATTGTGGCTATTTTTAAATGGGTTAATGTCAAGTTAACAAGCTCATAATAACAGAGTCATTGAAAATCTTTCTGCCATACTCACTGGGTCAGCAAAACTTCAGCCCAGTATCTCATACCTTCTAAATCTAGAGCACTAAAAATGCCATTCATAATAATGACCCTACAGAGGGGCAGATATATTTCTTCTGAATTAACAAAAGTAATGAGACATGTTGAAGGGGTTTTTAATATACCCTTATCCACTGAAGTTTGTGCACCCCATATTGTATATGTCATCTTCTGATTCCAGTACCAGAAAGATCTTAGAAATCATCTAGCCCCATCTCCTACCCACTGTAGGGCTCTTCTCTGCAAAATGGCTGGCAAGTTATCACCCAGCCTCCACTGGAATATGTTCAGGGGCAGGAAGTTCATTGTTCCCTGGGGAGATTCATTCCATTATCAGGCAGCAGCAACTATCAGAAAGTTTTCACTCACTCACTTCTCTAGACAAATGATTAGAGAAATACTATCCTATGCAAGACTTTATCCCAACTGCTATGGGTAATACAGAAAAGATTAAAATCCAGAGGACTTGTTTTTTGTGAGTCAAAATGTCTCCCCAAAAGGAGTACATATTGATAAAAGTTGGATTGATAGGCCACAGTTCAAAGATCTTTTTTCCAAGTGCTCTGCTAAATATTTTATTCATGTTGGCCCCCAGCCTACAAATGGGCATGTTCAGGTAATTTCCTCCCACTATAATAATAGTGTAGGATAAATACTGTATATAAAAACAAATACTATATAAAAAATAAAATGACTGCTAAAATAAATATTTTGTTATCCAGGACACAGAATTTGCTAAGTGCTGCAGACCCTAAATTGGAATAACCTAAATGAAATTACCTACGGAATCTTACCTGCTCAACAGCATCTCCTAGGCGCATTTTTCGAGCAGACTGTCCGCTGACCTGGGCTTTTGCTGAATATAAATAAAGGTGGAGGTCTGCCACATTCTGAAACTTGGGATGGTCCTTCTCACTGGGATCTACAAAGTGCTCAATTTCTGCCATTGTGAACTCTCTGGAAGCAAAAATATAAGGGATAAAAGTTGCATGCTTTACTATAAAAAATAAACAAGGCCCTTATTTTCAACTTTACAATGATATAGGCCCTCATACTACAGGAATCTCTTATCACTAAACCAGAAAATTGTTTCCTAAGGGAATGGCAAAAAAAAAAAAAAAAAAGAAAAGAAAAAAAAAGTTGGATTAAATTTGTTTGGGTGGCTATTTTTTTTAAAACATATTAATGAATGGGGCGCCTGGGTGGCTCAGTTGGTTGGGCGACTGCCTTCGGCTCAGGTCATGATCCTGGGGTCCTGTGGTCAAGCCCCGCATCGGGCTCCCTGCTCAGCCAGAGGCCTGCTTCTCCCTCTCCCACTCCCTCTACTTGTGTTCCCCCTCACGCTCTCTCTCTATTAAATAAATAAATAAAATCTTTAAAAAAAAAACATATTAATGAAAACTTTACAACTCACTTGAATAGTATTTTAAATAAATAAATACAATCAAACTTTCCTCAAATATTAACTTTTTTTTTTTTAAGATTTTATTTATTTATTTGACAGAGAAAGAGAGTCACAGTGAGAGCAGGAGCACAAGCAGGGGGAGGGGGAGAGGGAGAAGCAGGCTTCCCGC